AAAGCTGTGCCCTGCTGGGACTGTAATGTTTCCAACTCCACAGAAAGCCAAGTTGAGTGTCCAGCTTCTCCTTCCCTTGTAGCTTGTTGCAGACACCTCTGTGTGAGGAGAAGCAGGATTCAGCCATCCCCACAGACATCCACGCTGCCTATGGCAGCATCATGCTGATTTGGCATCAAGTACCCCTATATACCCTCCCTCCTGCACGCAACACTGAGGTCTGGCAGCACAAGGAGGTGGGTACATGTGGCTGACAGGTGTCAAGGATTTAAAACAAACCAGAAAGAACCCTTCACAAGTGGAATATGGATGTAAGTGATTGATAGTTTGGGCTGAATGCAGGTTTTCCTGAAATCCCTGTTGATTTTCAGTTTTTGTGAAGTTTGGTTCCTTCTATTTTACAACAACAACCAAAAAAATCATGTAAGGTTTGGTGCTGCAAACAGTTACACATCAGTAACTGCTGTGACTCAGCTGCAGGGTCTGCCTACAGCTAGCAAGATAATCTCAGTATCTACAATAACTTCCAAGAACAAAAGCAAGCAAAGAATTTCTTTTTCATGTGGTTTTCTCCTTCTCCACTACAAATAAATACACCTCTGGTTCTCACTCAGCACTGTCAACCTAGTGCCTCCTATCATTTTCAATGGGTGCTCCAAAAGTATCATATTAAAGAAAAGAAATCTAAAGTAAAGAAATTCAAAGTAAAATAAATGTTAATATTGTCACTTTTTTCTCTTCTCCACATACACATCTCCAATTCTTAGCACATTATTTTTTCTTTTTGCCAAATTTTCTTCCAGAGCCAATAAAAAACCATCTTGAAAGCAGAGAAACTCATGCCACACAAGTACAAGATCTGAGTCCTTAGAAGAGCACTCAGGTCACAAACTTAAAAACAACAGGCAAAAGACTCTGCCACTCCCACTCCAGTCCCTGAAAACGGCAAAAAGAACCCCTAAAACAACATTCATAAAAACAAAACCACATCAATAGAGTGTTATAAGCCTATTAGAATTATGACAATTTGGCTATAAGGAGAAAGCCAGTACAGGAGAAGACAAAAAAGAAGGATCAGAAAAATGCAGAGATTGACTGTTGCAACTAAAACCAGCAGGGGCAGTACTCATATCGCTATTAAAACCAAAGAGGAAAAGGAAAGACTCTCTTCTTTTAGGGACAGAAGGGACAAGACAGGTTTAAGGATGTGGTAGAGGCCCAGAAAAGCTGCATTAGGTCTCAGCCTTAACGAACTGCACCTGGACTAAGCCCTTCTTGAGCTTATCAGAGACACTGTTTGTCCCCAGGAACTAGTGCTGTCTAACGAGCTTCTGTTTTCTAGTACGGGGGTAATGTGTATGCCTCAAACACCAATAACTGGATGGCTGTGGAGCCAACCAAGGACTGTTGGTATTAACATGCCATGAGAAAGAAGTTTTGGCTGGCAAAGCGGGACCATGCAGAGATAGGCCAGCACCTGTCCAGGACAAACATCCTTGCTGTAGTTTAATGGAACAAATACAACTTACAGAAAGCAAGAAAATCATCTTGGATGGAGGAACCTGCCCACAAAAGTCACCCCTGCTGAGCCCATGGAGGCTGCTCCCCCTGGACACCTTGTCACCTGGACTGACACTTATTAGCTGGATCAATGCCAGAGCTGGGACTGACATCCCATTGGCCAGATCAACACTGGAACCAGGACTAGGGATCTCTTTTTCCCCTCTCCCTTTTCATTTTCTCTTTTCTCTCTTTTTTTTCCTTTTCCTTTTTCTCTTTTTTCTTTTTTTAATGCATCTCTCCCTTTTTAATTTCTCTCTTCTCCTTCACCCTACCTTTCTGTCCAAACCCCACTGCTGTGTGCTTATATAATAGGTCAGAGAGTACTACACAAATTTCCATGCTAGTTGTGTAATTTACTAATAAAACCTTCAAGTAGTTCATGGACCATCTGACTCCTCGTCACTCCTTTTGACCATGAGCATTTCTAAATCTTAAGTGCTTCCCCAGCCTCTAAGGGTGGGTCACCACAGATGTTTAATATTATTTTCAAATAAACAAAAACAACGCCCTGGTTTCAGTTGGCATAGAGTTAATTTTCTTTCCAGTAGCTGTGCTTTGGATTTAGGATGAGAACAAGGCTGATAATACACTGATGTTTTAGTTGTTGCTAAGCAGTGTTTACGCTACATCAAGAACTCTTCTGCTTCACACACCACTCCACCACCAGTGAGTAGGCTGGGGACAGAAGAAGCAGGGAAGAGATGCGGCCAGGACAGGTGACCCAAGCTAGCCAAGGTGATATTCCATACCATATGATGTCATGCTCACCTTGGGGGAAAGCTGGCTGGAGGCTGCTGCTCGGGAACTGGAGTGTGGTGAATAACTCCATCGTGCATCATTTGTTTTGTGCATTCTGAATCTTTTATCATCATCATCACTTTTGTCCTATTAAATTCCATCTCAACCTACCAATTTTACCCCTCAATTCTCTCCCCCATTCCACAGTGGGCAGGGAGTGTGCAAGCGGCTGTGTGATGTTTAGCTGCCTGGATGGTTAAACAACAACAACAAGGCAGAAAAATTACAACATTTAATGGCCTCATTTAATAAAAGATCACGCTAGAAAATGCTGAGAGTTTGAACACATGTTTGTGGCACTGTTAAGAGCGTTGCCATTGTCTGCAGGGTACAGACGGATGTCACAATAAAGCCATTCTGTCTGCCTGTTGCAGCCAGCACAACCAGTTCCAACTCCTTTGGCTCTAAGTTATCCTCATCTTCTCCCTCTTCCCCCTCCCCAGTCATGTCTCCTTTCTTTATTTGGTTAAAGTAGAAAAGAGAGAGAAAGAGTACCTGAAACATGCCAAAACAAGGCAGATAAGCACCAGAACAGATGCAGGAAATGGCATGTGCAAGATTTCCTTTTCAGCAACAGTGGACACAAGATAGCTGAATAAGGTGGCCTAAAGTTTGCATAGAGACTTCACTGAGTGCATAATTAAATGGCATTAAATATAAACTCCCATTGGCTCACAAAGTCCCTGAGCCACAAAACAGCAGAGGTTGGGACACCTTAGAAATCTCTCTGGATGCTTGCTTTTTTCCTGCAACTCCTTTTCCCAAACATCAGCCCTCAGCATAATGGTTCTTACATTCCTAATTATGGGCCCCATCCCTACACATTTATCTACTCCTGCACTGCCACAAGCCAAATACCAGTATACCAATAGAGACAACTCAATCAGGACATTGATTGTGTGGCATTTTCCTTTTTTTTAAACCTGGTTTAGGATGACTGGTTACCCCATCAGGAAATGCACTGCTTTGTTGAGTAAAGACATCTATGCAAATGAGAGCACGTGGGAACTATTTTTTCCTTGAACAGTTTCTGGGAAGTAAAACCACAGTACATTACTCAGGACAGAAATAAATTTTAAAAAGAAAAAAACCAGCCAACATACATCAGTTCCTAAAAGAATCCTAAGATTAGCATAAATACAAACTGAGTAACAACTGTAAGCATTCAAAAAATGCAAAGAATATTTTCAGCTAGCGTAGCACAGTAATTGTTCAATGGTTATGCTTATATGTTGTGGCTTCCTTATATGTAGGGAACGACATTACAACAGAATCCTGATTACCTTGGAAAATTACAAAGAACCATAAATTACAGCTAGTAAGATTCAATCCCACCACCCAGCACCAATGTAAAACAATATATTTTGTTACCTTTTGGGCCCCTACTAGTTTGTACAGAAACAATCCTTCAATTTTCTACATTGGTGCTTTCTGAAGAAGCACCTGACCCTATAAAACACAGCTTTATTTGGAAAACTGAGGCCATCAGGCTTACAAAATTAGATAGACTACACCACTGTATAAGGAGCACGTAGAAGGGAGATTGTTTTTTGCCTGTCCATCTGCCTGCCAGGAACAGGTTTTCCTTCATCTCCTGCCATCCTCCAGCTCTGTGCTCAAGTCCTAGACATTACAGCAGAATTGTTCTTCAGTAATCAGGAACCAACAGCCACTTCGGTAACATGCAGGGCCCATAATTCTTAGGTTCATTTTCCTCCGCTTCTAAGGCCTCAATTTTTAAAATTTTTTTATTTTAAAACAGACTGCCATTATTGTATTATTGTAATTTTAAAGTGACTGGATTTATGCCTAAACATCCAGAAAATGTGAAGACTCCAAAGGAAAAGGCACAAAAAAACAATACATTCACAGAATCCAAGGTCAGGGCTTTTGACAGTGGCCAGTATCAAAGCTAGAAGGAAGCTGCCAAAATGAGGCATTAGTCTTCTTTCTTAGGAGGGAGGAACTCTTATCTAAATCCTTTGTAGACAGAGAATATTGTCACCACCACAGAATTAAGTCGGGCTGGTTTAGGCTGGGGATTTGAATCATCCCCATGAGCTGACAGGAGAAATAAAAAAGCAGCCCTGAAAACAAATGCACACATACTCCCAGCCTAATGTGACAGTGTATTCTACCATGGACATCTCATTCCTTCCCCATCTCTTACTAGTTACACTGGTTACTGGTTTCACTTGAGATAGTTGCCCTTTCATTCTGAGACAGGCAGGCTACATCATTCAAACTCTAGCTGTGGACTACCCAGGCAAAAAAAAAAATTTACTGGGAAAGAACCAAAGAATAGCTCATCTTTCTGCAGTACAATGAACCACAATAGTTACATAGCAAGCACACAGAGAGAAATAACTGCAATGACCTTCACAAGTTTAAAAAATATCTTCTTCATCAGCCTTAACTGCAATGCTTTTTAAATTTCTGTGATTGCCCAAGCAATCTGTACTGTCTCAGTAGTCCACATACTTGCACAGCATTGCTTTAGGTTCACCTCTAGTTCTGGACAGTGGCTGGGTGAAATTCGAGCACAGATCTGTTAACATGCAAAACACAACTTGTTTTGGTTTGGTTTTTTTTCCACATCCAAAAAGAAGCAATTTGTTTTAAATGCTAAATAAACTCACCCCCAAAACCCCAAATCTTTCACAGAAGTTCCAACCACAGAGAAAGTCAATTTCAAAGTTGTGATTAAGGATTACGATGGCATTCTCCTTCCCATACTTCTGGTAATTCTCTGGGTCAGTGTAGAGGGTGCAATCAGTGCCTGACCACCATTCCAGCAGCATCACCATCTCTGAAATAAAGAATAAATATATGACTGTACACAGTACATGCAAAGCCACATGTTGAAAACATCATTCACCTCAACAGCACATGGCAAAGAAAGGGCTGTAATGAAGAACACATAATGAAGGCTGTTTAAAATACAGCTGTCTTTACAAGCTGGAGAGTGGTTTCTCAGCAGTCTCCTAGTGACTATCGTATACCTTTCACCTTCCTATTTGCTTATCCCATTATCAAGCACAGGCTTGTATTGTAGGCTTTATATTTGTTTTGCTTGGAACTGTAAGTCTGACCATAAGACTTATGAATCAAATCTTTATTCAGCAAAATCTCTCTGGTCTGGGGCACAGGAAGTTGAGGTGAGTCAGTAAAGCCAAGAAGCTTGGAGAGCTCTTATCTCCATGGAGATGGAAAAAGTAAATTTAAAGCAGTGGCTTTCCTGAAGCAACCCACATCTTGAGCTGGGGGTACCATGGGACTAGATGAGAGCAGTCTGTCAAGACCAAAGAGGAGTTAAGGGACACATTTGCTTTCCATCAAAGATATCACAGAAGTTCTGAACCAAAACAAAGGTGTAATGTGAGGGGTTATTCTTTATTAAGGGAAACACATCTCCTTCTCAGGGCAGATCTGTGCCATACGAATGTCTCTGCTGGAAGAACAAGTCGTTCAAGATACTCTCCTGGCTTAAGACAAGCCTGAAGGCACCACAAATCCTCATTCACCTCGGGGAAAATCAAAACCAGGCCAGTCTTTGAAACACTTCTGAATTCCTTTCAATTTAGGTCCCCTACTGGCCTCAACTAGTGACCGAAGACAGAAAACAGCTAGGAACAAGTAGTCTACATTTTCAGTCATCATGAGCAAAATTAACTGCCTGAAGCTTTTGGATGACATTGTGCTGTACGCTGGGGAACACGTATCGATGACATGAATGAATTTTATCCAGCAGCATTGCAACCAGGCTAATAGACAACCTCTATTCAAACAATGTTACCTCAATGTAATAAAAGCATATTTATGGTACAGATAACTGACTGACTTGTCAGTCCACCTGCTTATTTCTAATCAGGGCAGTAACTACTACCACAGCAGGAGTATGTATTATTCAATGCATGCTATTATGCATCAGAACAGTATTCAGAAATGTGGAAGGAGCCCTAAACTACCATATGCTAACTGAGCAATGGCAGATTTTACATTGGAAACTAATTTCCCAATGAAAGCCAAAGATGTTCACTTCTCTGGGAGACAGCTGTGAAGATACAGCAGTGTATACCTTCCAGACTTCCCCTGCTAAGAGCTGCCTTGCGAAACAGTTTTACATCTTTCCAAGGGTGTAGCTTTCTATTAGATTTATATTGGAAATTAAAACCCTCCATTCCCTAAAACACAGAAAAGAAAGGAAAGGAAACTAGTGACAGGATTTGTTTGTCTTTTGCTTTACTAGCAACCCAGCTAAGAGAAGAAATGACTACCTGATGGGATTTTCTCTTTTTTAACCTCTACTGCCATTAAATCTATTCCCTAAAACAAACAGGTAGAGATGATGATGATGGTGAGCCTCTCTTGACAAAAAAAACCAACTTTACCTGAGGAAAGTCATCCCACTTTAAGTGTGGAATTTTTGTTTTGTCTTTTCCTAAGGAATTTGAACAAAACTGATAATACATCACAAACCTCACTATAGAGGTGTGCCACATGTATAGAGCTCTTCACTTACATATTTTCCATCTCAAATATATTCCAAAAAAAGCATAGGCAAAAATATTTCTAGATGTGGTTTGATTCTTCGGGCTTCACATAAGCAGGATTTTTGTTTGAACAAATACTGCAGAAATAGGTCCCTACTCCTCATCTCACATGCCATTTGTCACTAGTGTGTTCAGGCAGTTGCTGCAGAAACACAAAGCAGGCACTGAACGCCTCTGTATTTAAATACAATAAATACCATCTGCCAGCCTTTATGTTCTTAACATGCTTCTTCCCTTCATCTTCCCGGCTCTTTCTTTCCCCTTCTTCCTAGCCTCCTTTGCAGATATCAAGCAATGATTAGTAGTGTCAGTTTGTGCCACTCTTGCATCATGTCATCAGCTTATTTCCACAACCTGCCACAGAAATTTATAACCCAGCAGCAACTTGCTGCGGTGGCTTAGCCACACAAGGTCACTCATACACGCTCTCCTGCCCTCCTTCACAGTGCAGCTGACCAGAGCAAGTTTCCTCCTCTTCGGACACCAGTCAGATCGTATAACTAGAAATCAATTATACAGGGGGAAAAGAAAAAAATCTCTTGCTTCCAACCAGGGCTGGTCTAAGATTTCTAAGGCTTCACCCCACCCACTTTGATAAGATTTTGGAGTTCCAACATCACAACTGAGCTGGTAAATTTGCATTTAACCACATCATGAGGGTTCCTACCTTGCAAAGCAATTCCACTAGTGACACTCAAACAATGCAAAGGAAGGAGAAAAATCAAAGGAACTTGAAATCTCCATTCCCTCCTTTGAAGCCTAAGTCCTTGCAATATATTACAACTGGCTTCAGAAGAAGCTGATGAGAAGCACAAAACATGACTTCAAATGCCTAGTATGGATACTCTGTCTGCTTAGGAATTTTGAGGTTTTCTACCTTTCTGAAATAAAGCAAGCCCTCATCCTGCTGCACAGAACAGCTCCTACCTGCTGCAAGAGTAAATTGCTTCCTAGCCTTTCACTGCACAAATCTGAACTGCTTCAATGCTTGCGCTTCTAGAACAAATAACCAGAAAGAAAAGATCTCCAAGGCAGACGCAAACTATAAGTAGTTATATGAAAAATAACATTTAAGGCAAGAAAGGAAACACAGAGCTTATTTTCCACCTCAGTGTTTTGCAAGAATGACTCATTGGAACAGTTAACACTGTTCTATCGACATTGTTAGCAATTCCTTTAGTTAACTATTCTTGATAAGGGCCAAATGACTTACTGTGGTCCCTTCCAACCCTACCTATTGTGTGATTAAGTGATAAGCCATGGAAACATATGCTTACCAGATTAATTATAAATTGCCTACTGAAAAATGCAATTTAAAGCATAGTTACGTATTGACTCAATAAGTACAATAATTTGAAGATGTTAAGTAAGTGCGTAACCTGTTTTAAGGAGCTACAGAACTGTTTCCCTCCATGACCATTTTCTTCAATCTCTTCATTTTCTTTAACCTATGTATCAAGGTGACACCAAGAAAAAAAACTTATAAAATTCTTATGGAAATATATGGTAAAAGGCATAGTAAACTCTCCAATACAAATAAAAGCAAGACAAGTGGGCAAGCTGTGACCACCATTTCAAAGAACAGATGGGATGAAAGGCTGTGTGATGAATGAGTGCATTGCAGAAGATGTGGGAAGGCACTTTAAAAAATGTAAAACTAAGTCTAAATACAAACTGACAGACAGTATAGTCCACTTTATGCTTGTCTGTGGAAGAATGACTTACAATAACACCTTGCTACCTTTCCAAATGTTCAGACTACACCTACTAGGTGCACCTCCTAAACATTTTCTGCATAATGAATTTAGTCTACAGGTAACTAAGAAAAGCAAGTCTGTATCGTTTCTGGACTTCCCAAAAGCCTTCTCTGTACCACAGACAGGGTTAAACACATGAATGATACCTATTACATTAACTGCAAAGCTGCCTAAAAGGTTTTCAAATTACTTCCAAGTATTGATGATTCCACAGCCTCCTTACACAGACTATTACAGTGTTTCATTATGCTGTCTAACCTGGCCAAGAATTTATTTCTGGTCTCTACTGCCTTTGTCTCTGCAGGAGCTGCAAGTGATTATGAGGAAAACCTGAAGGCAGGAGCTCTACTGTAAGCTTGCACTGATTACATACATGAAACTGGAGCCCAGATCTGGAACATTACTACATGTCTAAAGGGAAAAAAAAGCATATACAAAAAAAGCATATACAAAAATCATATACATATTTCCTGTGAGCGGGAACAAAAAGTAATTCTTGGGGAAAAACACCCTGCATCTGGAAAGTCAAGCAATGTCTCCTTTTCCCCCAAGGTGAGGGGGGAGTCATTCAAGGAGCTCTGCCAGACAAGACATCAGCTCTCCAAGCTTCAAGCACATTCCCTTCCATTCTTTACTCTACATGTGCAACACATGCAGGTGTGCATGTGAGCACCAATGAGGTGTAATGGAGCAATCTGGTTCACACCTAGACAGAGGTCCTGGTCTTCAACCTGCAGAAAAATGCTTAAGATGACTGGTTAAAACAAAAGAGAAAACCAAAATCCAGCCCCCTCTTTCCTTAGCACTGCCACCACCCATTCCCTAACCCCCATTTGCCATAGCTGGTGGTATAATCACCAGCATCTTTGGACTTCTTTTCCCCTCCCTTAAAGCTGTCTTGGAGCAAAAAGTAGGTGGCTGATGAGGCGAGGGACAGGGGGAGATAGGCAAGCATGCACACAAATTTAAAAGGAAAAACAAACAAACCCCTTCTCTATTGGCTGCAGCTCCACTTATGGAGATTTTTGCCCCAGTCCTCATGGAAGATCCTGTAAGCAACTCGCTTGAACAACTCTTCAATTAATTATATGGCTGTACTTTTAGGGACAGAAATCACCAACAGAGAGGGAGGCAGAAATTAAGACTTTTAATTCCCCACCCATCACAGTAAGTTACTGGATGTGCTTGCAAGGAAAAAGATAAGCACAGCCTAGCCTTTTCATATGTTCAGGTTCCAAGTCCCATTCATTTCAGCATTTGCTTGCAGGAAAATCTTTTAATGTACTTTTCTTCAACAATCAGATATTCCAACACAGACTACGTGCTGCTTTCGCCCCAAATGACTGAGGTCAGTATAGCATGTGCACAACAAAGAAGTTAGTACCAACAGACAGTGAAAGAAAACATGTTGCTTGGCAAGTTCCTATGACACCACCATTTGCTTTGTATGAGTGTGAAATCAGGCTGTCGCATCTCTTCCGGATGTGGTTTCTTGTTGC